GATAGTCATGTTGTCGCTAGGTCATTGAAAAACACCACGCACACAATTGACTTCCTTGTTGCTATCAGGTTAGAGGTTGAAGTGAGATTCAAACCTTTGCCCTTGAGATTCTTTGTGTCCAAGGAATTGCCGATACAGAATAACCAAGTGTTGAGATCTGGATTGGTATAATGCCTTATGATGTAAGGCAACATTTTTTTTCTGTTAGCGGTGTGATTCCAACCGTAGGTGAATTCGACGGGTCTTGGATTGCACACATTATCCCACGAGACACAAGAGTGATCATGATGTCCATGGCCCAGACAGGACTGTTGTGGCCATTGAGGACAATTGCTCATATTCTCTAGCCATCGATTACCAGTGAAAATTAATTTACGGGCGATAAATTAAAGACCATCATGGTTATGCATAATAATTGCAAATTTTTGATACTCAAGTGAGTAACTTGAAAAATTTTCAACCTTGATTGTGTGAACATAACACGTTGAAGATCACATAGATCTCACAGTAATAGACTGCATAATCTGACAATGTCGGTAGATGTGCATGTTTCTATTACCTTGTGTGTGTTACCAATTTAAATATAAGGAAATTCACATTGCAGGTCATCGCTTGTCAAGACTGACAAAACATAGACCCCGCACTAAGAGGGGATAGTCTGCAAATGAGCAGTAGATCCAACACATTACCTTGAATCTAAATATAATGAGGGAAATATAACTCAAAAATTTACAAGCTTGATATGCGAGAGAAAATAATCTCAACCACAAAAAACATGTTCAAGAGAATTTGACATGTGGTGAACACACTGAACATGTCAAGTATCAACATACACATATTTCTGGAATTTTAAAACTCATCAGAAAATTGGTTAAATGCATATCAATTATTGCTGTATTAAGCCAAAAGGCTCAATTAAGATGAATTGATTTTTATTTGCAAGAAACTGAAAATTTCAATTGCAAATAGTAGATGTAATTAATATCAACATGTCGAATAACATGGAAATATATTGCATCACACTTTATTCTGGAATACAGAGTATTCTACAGGAAAATAGTGCTGAAAAAACGGCTGGTGCCCAGTACGCATGCAGATGGGCCAACAAAGGCATCCATCGCTAATCTAAGGCCTCTTTCGGTTTAGAGGAATCTTGTAGGAATTTTATAGGATAGGATTTCTATAAGAAAATTTTCTGTAGAGCCTTTTGGTTTATAGGAATGGAATCATATTCTTATGGAGGAATTCTTCCTATCCTCCACATTTCATAGGAAAATAAACATTAGCCTAGACTCAATGAAAAAAATCCTATGATGTGAATCAAAGGGCATCTCCTTTCTATTCCTACTCATAGGATTTAAGATACATGTCATCTCATTTCCTATGACTTTCCTATTGCTACGAATTTCCTACCCTATGAACCAAATGAGGCCTAAGCTGGTCAAGGCGAGCGAAAAAGGAGAGCGGTCAGGAAAGAAATCCCCAGCAGGCCAGCAGCTCATCCCCAACATCTCGACATGATCGAGATGAAGACCACCACGGCAGCATCACGAGCGACGAGGGTGGACTTCCCACCGCCTCCTTCCTCGTCGGAGGAGCCGCCGGGTAAGTGGGTACCATATGCGACCGCGTTAGAGGCACCGTTCGTGAGCCTGAGCGCTACGGGGCTCCGTGTGCCGGAGCGGCCGCTCGACGGCAAGCTTGCAAGCAGGACGCCCAGGGCTAAGAGGCGGCGGCGAACCCCATGCGCGATGAAGTAGGGGGAGTAGCCGGCACCGGGGACGGCAGGAGCAGCGTGAGGGCGTCGACGTCGACAACCGCGTGGTTGGAGGCGCCGCTCACACCGGAGCCCAAGGCAAAGACGGAGGCCTCGGTTGGTGCAGACACGAAGGCGAGCGCGTCGCCATTGCAAACGTGTACAAGAGGCACACCCAGGATGCGCACCGCTGTCGACGACCTCAGGAACGGCGTGTCGGCTTCCGCTTCAACAACCGCTAGGGTCAGAGGCTGCAGCGGCGCTGCCTCATCCACGACCAACCCAGCCATGCAGCAAACAACAAAACGGCTGTGGTGGAGTCCGCCAACACCATGATGGTGGTGGCGAGGGACGAAGTGGCAACGATGGTCGTTGTCGCGAAGAAGTCGAAGAAACAGGGACATGACCTCCAGGCATGATTTATTCTCACCTTTTGCCTGTTCGTCCTGTTCTTCTCGTCGGAATCGCTCTCGCAAGAGAGCAGTGCTGATAACGTGTTTGAGATCGAAAATAAAAATGATCGAACTCTCCTATTTGCATTAGATGAAGTGTTATATATAGCACCAGAACAGGCGTTTACAAGGGGTGTCGGGGCGTTGGTTCGGACAGAACCGATGCAATGATTGCAGAAAGCAATCGTCAACCGTCATTACAAGCAGGGATTAATCCCTTAATTACTATATTAATTAATCTTAACAACACTCACATGAAAGATCCAAGGTCTCACATCCACTAAATCAATATACACATACAAGATTCAAGATCCAAATCCAACAAGAGGAAATAACAAAGGGTAGTTTTTCCTAATCCTAAGAGGAAGTGAGGTCTTGATTATAGTCTTCTCTAATCCCTAGAGGAGGTCTTGATATCCACTTGGGGATCTTCTCCTAAGAGGTCTTGATCTCCAAGGGAAGAGGTAGATGATCAAAGCTCTCTCTAGATCATAGCATATGCTCTAGCCCTAAAGCGAGGTAGGAGACATACATTTATAGTCTAAGTGAGGAAGAGATGGGCCTCGGCCCTAGTCATGCGTGCATGCAATGTCCGGATGATTCGGGCAATGTCTGGATGATCCGGGTGGTCACTTGGATGATCCGGCTGGGCCGCTGTGGCTGTTGCCTGGCCGGACGTCCGGGCTTTGTCCGAATGATCCGGGTAGAATTCCGGATGATCCGGCTTCATGGAGAGGCTGACGATACTGGATCATCCCTGAGGAGGGCCGGATCGTCCAGGCATTGTACAGATCATTCGGGTAGGTGCTTGATGCGGACATCACACCATAGTTACTCACAGCCCGTGTTGCTACATATATTGGACCAATTACTAGAGCTCGCGCACGCCAATTAAATCATCAGGTGCTTTCGCTCTTAGTAATGATTCTAATGTTCATGAGTATATGATGTTGCCTAAATTGGATGAATTTGTTTTGCTTATGAATGAAGGGCATAGCATGGATAAGAAAGGTCTACATTGGAGTAGGATCAAGCGTGGAGTTGAAGGCACGCGCGAAGGGAACAAGAACAGAGTTTCTAATGGAGATTTCAACACTTTGGAGCCACCATGATGACTTACAAGCACATGGACGCAATATACAAGATGAACTATCATAAATTTCGTACATAGCTTATTATAGGTTCTACACTACCTTATTATTTTTGGCCCAGCCCCATGTAATTTCGAAATAATTTTTCATAGTCTGTTTTCAGAGTCCGTATTATAGGGGAAACTATTCAGGAGGTGTTTGAGTCCCACCTTGTCAAGGGGGGACGAAATCCCCTCGCTTCCCCCTATAAATACAGCCCTTAAGGCGTCATTTAGACTTGGGTTTTGTTTAGATTAAAGTTCGCCATAGTGCAACGCGCGTACTTCGTTTATGTCAAACGACCAGGCCAAGACGTTTCAGTACCCAACTTTGATCAATGAAGCTTTTCTCTTATATTCGCAATATCCAGACTGCAATCTCGGCTTCTTGCTTGTTCTTCGTTTACGTGCAGGAAATAGACCCTTGTGGTCAGGTTGATCGTGCTCTAACGTGGTCAATAACCTCTGGAGTTGGTTTAGCGATTGCCAAGGCGCGACGTCTTCGCACGTTTGTAGTCGGATCGTCAAAGTCGACTTCCACCGAAAACGATAGCTACTTCTCATCAAAACATCGGGGCACCTTTGCCTCTATTAGTGCTGACTTGTGTCGTTTGCTCTCCATCTTCATGTTCTTCTTCATCCATTGCTTGGCCTTGCTCCTTAGCTTCTCCATGGTTGGTCCCTTGGTATCTGGGTATGCAAAGTGTCTCCGCTTGAGGTAGTAGTCATGTCTCATGTGATTCGAAAAGGAGTTGAGCAAGGAGGGAGTTCACCACGGTTACGATAGCCCTTGCACGAGCCCTTGTCATCGGTCCACTTGGTGCCTTGGGTGATGATGACATGTCCATGTGGATGACCAAAGGATGCTCCGCATCATTTTGTTTACCGTGTAATGAGCTTCAAAGGTTCTGGCCGTCTATCCGTTTTATGCCATCAAATGCATGATAAAAGGAAAGATTGGAGGAGCCTTATGACGTATGTCTCATGTACGTGGACATCAACAAACAAAATTATCAGTATCATCAACTTAAATAGTTATTGTTTGAAAATTCAAGGTATATTTGTAGCTCAAGCATTTTACCAATATATTTGCGGCCATATTCACTCAACAGAAATCTTTGCATTTGACTAACACAAAGATACTCCGATAATGAGCAAATATTGCAGAGGTTACTCCCCACCTGACCTAGTTTGCAGAATAGGACATATTGCATAGGTTACTCCCCACGAAATCGAAGTAGCATGTGTGTATGGCAATCAGCTTGCTTTGGGGTACCGTACAAAATTTAGCATATGTCGAAAATGTAATGATTTTGGTTCGGTTTAGATGAAGATCATTCGGTTTACATAAAATTCATCTGGCTTATTCAAATCCAATTTACAGTGTATGCAGACAGCGAGGGATGGCCGGCTTCCACATCATGTCTGCAGACACGTTCGTGATCGGATGCTGTGTCTGTTTAAGGGGTTTGCATTGCAGATGCCAGCACGTAGCATGTGCGCATGGCCATCGGTTGGTTTGGTTGAACTAAAACCGCACAAAATTTAGCAAAAGAAACGAGCGCTGGAGCGGGAATGCGGGCACACAAATACCACCGCCACCCACGCCTCGCCAACAGCGGCGGCATCTCCAGGACCGGTTGCCTCCAGTCGGGCACCGGAGATGCAGGCGGCGGTAGCGGCGTCGGCGTGGGTGCCGACCACCTCGCCGTCTACCTCCTCCTTCAAGGTAAGGCCTCTTGTTTCTCCGTCTCTTCTTGCTTATCCGCTTCATGTTGTTTAACGAGGAGCTGTTCGTTTCAAGGTTGGGGTCTCGTCGCGCTTGCGTGGGAGGAGAACGCCCTCTGCCGCGGCAACTTCGGTCGCCGTGTCCACTCGCCAGCCGCTGGAAGGTGAGACTTCCGTCCTTGCCGCAGACCAACTATAGTGACAGTTCGATACGCTAGTCCTTAATAGAGGTAGATTTCAAAGTTTCATCTATCACGTTTTGTTGCTGCAGTTGTTCGACCCATTGCCGACCCGAATCCGGTGGTCGATTCACCATTAACCGCTGAAAATGTGGAGCTTGTTCTGGATCAAGTCCGGCCGTATCTCATGGCAGACGGCGGCAACGTTGCCTTGCATGAGATCGACGGGAATGTGGTGAGGCTCAAGCTGCAAGGAGCATGCGGGGCGTGCCCAAGCTCGGTGATGACCATGAGGATGGGCATTCAGCGGCGTTTGATGGATGAAATACCAGAGATTGCTGCAGTTGAAGCTATCACGGACAAGGAGGCTGGGCTTAAGCTGAACGAAGAGAATGTTGAAAAGGTACTGTTACTTGTTATGGTGCCAATGGAGAATAATCAAAATTCTAATTGTGCAGACAACGTACAATTCGATGCAATGCAAAACTTACACCGGGTATTTGTCAAGCATTAACCTATCTCATACTACATGAAATGCAAATAAAGATTCACTAGAGGGTCTTGCAGCGTCAGCTTGCGAAAAACGTTTCTTATACTAGGAAATATGCCCGTGCGTTGCAACGGGAGAAAAACAATCGCATACATCCATCCCAATAAGCAAGGCTCAAGACCCATGGTCATTCTACATCCTCTATTTTATCATAACGTCTTGCATGGCAAAATTGATACATCGTGACTTGAGGATACTAACTCATTGAAGAATGGGTAGGCGGGAGCCGGAGGATTCATACAAAGTTCACCTTCAAATACCTACTTGCTTATTTCCTGCCATGCAAAACATTTTATCTAGACATTCGATTAAACTTGGCAAATACTATAGACAATGGTACACCTTGTGAACATAAGAAAAAGGAAGACTCGCAAAGAAGAAACCGGCAATCAGGAAACTGAAACTTCTGTAGTTGAAGGTTGCATCTGAAACGAAACTGCAATATGTATCAGTATCACACATTTAGGAATCACCAACAAGCAATAAATAAGCCAAAATCATGAGACTACTCCGCAAGAGATGAATGTATAATTATGCCAATGTTCAGAACAATTCTAGAAAAACCATAGACAGTTTATTTAAACCGTAAAGATCATCCTTATGAATTTAGTATTATTGCAAATGTTCAAAACAAATTGAGGCTTAACTAATAAAAGTAGATTAGATGGGTTAAAAAATACCAAACATTATCTGGAATTATCATCACTATCACAAAGTGGAGGTTTGCCTCAGGATCACTGACTCACATAGCATGAGTTATTTAAAGGATTCCTCCATACAGCAACATACTATTTCTTCACAAGCTCCCAACATGGTCGGTTACGAGGTCCTCCATCTCTACAAATAATTTTATCTGTAAACAATCATTTCAAGAGAGATCGACAAAAAAATGCTGTATTTCATTATGAGAGGCTACTTGACCTGATATAAGTAATGTTATATAAAACTATTATTAACAAAGAAGAGATTATTCTGGCTAAATCGAACAACTATGGATTCATCATGTGTGAAAAATAAGTGAATTAACACCTCGAGAAGATTATATTACTCTAAAGGAACAAAGTATGTAAGTAAGTATGCCCCAAAACATGCTACTCCACAGAAATAGAGATTCAACAATGGTAGACATTTTAGCTGTGGAAACTGGTGTAGTCCATGAAACTTTAGCTGTTATTTATCTTTTGCATGTTCAAGCAGTGATGCTTGTAAAACCCATATGTTTTAAGTTCTGATTTTATTTCAACACTACAAACTACTCGTTCGCTTTCCTGTTTTATGCAATTTAAACTTACCTTTCCTGTTTCTAAAAAGATTTGAGTAATTTATAATATAATCAAGGCAAACCTGACATATCTTTGTCATCAACCAGCAGTGTATGAGGTACATTGCTAAACCACACCTCTAGTTCACATAACTACATTACAGAAATTCTTGTACATGGATGCTGCATTTACAGAACATAAGCCAAATCAGTTAGTTCAATTCAGATTTCTGAATTTACTGCTTAAAAAATCGATGTAATACCTACTTGAGTTGGCCTTCCTCTCGGAGGGGATGGCGGTTTGATGCATCTTGATAATAAAGGAAAGTCAGAGTGGTTAGATATACTATGCAGATAATCAAAGATCAGACCTGTATTCAAGAAAACGCATCCAAATATTTAAATATTTTGATCAACATCAAAGAAAACTGAAAAGTGTCTAGCATTCTTGAAAACAGAGAGAAGAAAACTGTCTAGTAAGAGGCCACACTGTTGTACTGATTCCTTGAATCCGGTGCTGCAGGAGGCCATGTAGATCATCCCATCCACTTCCTATGGAAGTAGACAGTTTGCTCATCTAAAAAAATTAAGACCAATGTACATAGATAGACCTAGCTGAATTTTCCTGATCAAACCTTAGGTCTGAAGCTGATTTTGTTATTCAGTAATGAACTTAATGGCTGGAGAATAGAGAGTCGCTTCTGTTCCTCCAGTCGGAAGCCCGATTAAATTGAAACTGTCGGCAATACACATGTGACTCCCGTTGCATCAAGCATCAACCATCCTGACATGTTTTCCTTAATTGATCAGAAAAGTGATGCTTTGATTGATGTATAACTGATCAGAAAAGAGATGCTTTGGTTAATGTACAGCTAGAACTTGATATCAAAGGATATTATAATATGGGTTGGTGGCCTTTTTCAGATCAATACGCGCCGTCGCCCGGCTCGGGAGCTCATGGACTCGGCGGAGCTCCATCCGCACTGCCGCGGCGCGAGTGCGGGGCCTCATCCGTTGCGCACACGCCACCGGCGCCACAGGTGGAGAGCAAGGGCGAGCCAACTGGGGCTCCGTTCAGGCTGTGAGCCGGCGTGAAGGGGCGGCGGCGAGGCCGAGAAGGGGCGGCGGCGGGGTGAGCGGCGGCAGGGCCGAGAGGTTGGAGCGGAGTGGGCGTGCTGCTGCGGCCCGGCCCCCCTGCGGCGGAGGTGCCGCTCGACCATCGGGGGTGTGCTGCTGCGCCCGTCGGGGCCGTGGCCGCCGGCGTGAAGGGGCGGCGGCGAGGCCGAGAAGGGGCGGCGGCGGGGCCGAGAGGTTGGAGCGGCGGCAGGGCATGGTCGAGAGGTTGGTTAGGCGAGAGAGAGAGGTGTGCGGGAGAGAGGCGTGGTCGAGCGGGCGTGCGAGAGAGACATGCGAGAGAGGGGCGAGCTGTGGGGTACCGGGTTTGGTTAGCGAGTAGATAGGGTAATGGCATGATGGGTAATTAAAGCGTAAAATACGTTTAGTATGTTGGAGTGATGTAGACCATTAGATTACAGGGTTCGATGGATAGGATGATTTGGTTCTCCGCCCTCTCTCTCTTTTATAGTGGTAGTAGATAGTAGATAAAACTAGGTTGTTATCTTCAAATAGAATGCTAGTGTTCCGGTTCTTCTTTTTATGCAACAGCATATAGTGTGTTGTCTTTAATTTCACATACCATTCTGGGGTGTGGGGACTATATACCGGAGCAACAACCTTCCTGCCATGGACGGTATCGCCGTCCATCTTCTTTTGATAAGAGGATCTGCGATTTGTCCGTTTAATTTTGTGGCACATTGATGACTGTTCCATGTGGTTGGTTTGTCGTTCATTCTTGCTTAGAATGACATTCCAATACAGAATGCAGAACATGTACTCCCTCCGTTTCCTTTTACTCTGCGTATTAGGTTTCTCTTAAGTAAAAACGTTGTAAACTTTGACTAAATTTATATTAAAAATTATCAACATCTACAATTCCAAATAAATATAATAGTGCAAGTAATTGTTAGACATTATACAATGTCTCCTTGTTGCACATTGTCCTACACCTTGAGACGATTTATCTAACATTTATTTGCCCTTTCCATAATATGGGCGAAAACCAGTAGCTGGAGCAACTAAAGGTACATATTTGAAAATTACTTCCTTTCACCCAATGGCAGGTACTCGATGAGATCAGGCCATACCTCACCGGCGCAGGAGGCGGTAATCTCAGGTTTGTCGCGATCAACAAATTCTTCGTGAAAGTCCAACTCAAGGGCCCTGCAGCAGGTGTGGCGGCCGTCCGAGTTGCTGTAGCACAGAAGCTCAGAGAGAAGATCCCATCCATCGCAGCTGTCCGGCTATTGCCGTAAGCTTCAACTGCAAAACACTGCTGTGAATATCTGGTTATCCAGGAAAATGCTATGAATGTGCTAACTGATCAGATCACCACTGTAGCTGGTAGCTGGTAGCCCCATGGAGAGTTTCTCATCTCTAGTCAGATGATATGCGACTATTGATGTGAAATGTTGTAACAAGGTTCTTTTTGGTCTCTTCCTCTTGGGAAGGAAATGGAAAGGTCAATCTTGGTCGAAATTAAGTCGTTGCCAATTTTGAAAGAAGCCAAGGCAGAAAGCAGGAAGCCTTGTGGTCTCATCTGAAGAAGGGACGCTTCAGATGCACCTGAGCTTCTTGTTCCTGGAAATATTATCCATCTCCAACATATTAATAACGTAAACATGAACGATCAATCTGATATATAATGGACACCATCCAGTCGTTCAAGCAATGAACAAAGGAACACTGAAGCATTTTATTGTTCTAGAACACGGCAAGACTGGGGCATTACAATTCGTCATGCAAAATCGCAAAGAAACAGCATCCGAGCTACTTGTCGTCTCATATTTTGATTGTTACAGAGGCGGAATCCATTGCATCAAACGAGACAAGGAGGAGGTGACCATACCCCGAGCCAAGATCTCGGGATTTCACACGCATCGCATCCAGAAGCAAACGACGACGGGCGCCGATCTAGATGGCGGAAGGGAGGATCTGGGAGACGACGAGGTAGGAGAGGAACCCGGCGAAGGCGAGCAGGAAGGCGTAGTCCACCGCCACGAACAGCGCGGTGGATCCGTGGCCCCTCTTACGGCCCTTCTCCTCCTCCGCGGCCGCCGTGGCGCCGGATCCGATGCCGCTGCGCTTGTTCGCCACTGCCTCCATCCCGAGCGCAGATGACCTCTTCCGCACCTCGCTCCGGCGACGGCGATGTGATGAGATGGGAGACGACGGGGAAGGCTGTGTCTTGGATATAACGACAAGAGAACGGCGGAACGCAAGAAGACGCAGCGCAGAAGACTAAAGAAGGAGAGGCGTGGGTTGGACGCAGACAAAGCAGCGCCTGTGGCCTAATGGATAAGGCGTCTGACTTCTAATCAGACGATTGTGGGTTCGAGTCCCACCAGGCGTGCATGTTTTGATATTTCGATAGTTCCTTTGTTTTACTTTTGGTATATCAAACACTCTTCAATGAATTTGCAAAAAGCTCCTAAAATAATGAATTTGCAAAAAAATACGCAATTAGGTTGCTCTCTTTATCCTCCCCCGAAGATGGGTTGAAAGTGTTGAATAAATAGACAATTTTTTTATTAAATTAATCCAGTAAATAGTCATGATCATGGCATTGATAGAATTAAAAACATACTAATTACGCTCTAGATAAGCATGCACCACACATATAGTAGAAAGATATATGCACATAGCTGGTACCACTAAGACGGAACTAAACATGAGAGGCATAAGCGAGTTATACCCTCCAATCGGCCAGGCAGAAGCCGCGGCGGCGTCCTCGGTGTCCTTCTTCTCGGCTTCGAGTTTCTCGACGGTGGCACGATCGGCTTTGTTGGCGGTGGGCATGGTGACGATGAAGACGATGCAAACGTAGACGATGCAGCGGACGTGGACGAACGACAATGAGCAGTCGCGTAGGAGACGCTCTCCAAAAAACTAATCGCCCCTCTACCGTACATGATCTAGAGAGGCGGGGTTTCAAAGACCTACTCCCCCGTCAACTGTGTACGTGGTGGACGGTATGGGATCACCGGCGGTAGCATCAGCAACAAGAATGACGGGCGTGGATGTAGAGATGCGATTTGATTCTCGTTGCGGCTAGGGTTGGCCAGCGCCTCCAATATATAGGCGTGGCCGCGTGGAGAAGCGTGGGCTGGACCCACATCCGAGTCGGTGATAGCCCACGATCCGACGTCTCAAATCGTTGCCTGGCTGTCAAAGACTCTCCATTCCTGGCCAGCAAAAAAAGCACATAAGTGTGAGCTCGGCTCGGCTCATTCCCGCAACCCGCGGCGCGTTGTGATGAGGCGTGGCGTTGCGAGGCGGGCGACGAAGGGTTAGTACGCGGGAACCACTTCTCTTCTCAAGCTCCTATAGCATGTGAAAGAGAATCTCTTATAAGGAGGTCCAACTTCTCTCCAACTAGCAATGTAGGACTATACTTCCCACCACACCCATTACCATAAAACCCACATGGGCCATTGTAGAAATTGTTAGATGGCCCCAAGGCCCACCCTATGTTTCAATAGTAAGGATCGGTATGGTCGACTAGAGGGGGCAAGGATCGGTATGAACCAAATACTAGCACTCTTAGTAGCAAGTATGAACATAATTGCATCAACTTTTTCATTAACATTTACCTTCTTAACACTTGGCATGCGCTCGGTGTTCCATTGGGAATGATTGGCTCATATTATCAAGAAGCTCAGTAGCCTATCCAATGGTTATCCCCGTGAACGCACCACATACAGCAAAGTCTAGATGATTTCTAAAAACAAAGTTTAGTCATGCATAGAAAATCTTATACTACCATCCAAAGACTTAATTCATGCATGGGACAATTCTTTACCATAAGTTCCATTCTTTTCCATGATTGTGCAACATGTCCTTAATCAAGTTGTTTAAAATTTATAATTTGATTCCTCAAAGAGTTGATTTTTGTAGGAGGACAATATTTACCAATAAAGCATCTTTACACTTAGACCAAGAATCAATACTACTTTTCAGTACAGAAACTAACCATTTTTTGGCTCTATCTCTCAAAATAACGGAAACAACTTCAGTTTTATAATATCATTGTCCGCATCTTTAGTTTTTTTTGCATATCACATAGTTCAACAAAGGTATTAAGATGGGCTGCGGCATTTTCATTACAATTTTCAGAAAATTGATCTTTCATCACAAGGTTTAATAAAGCGGCTTTAATCTCATAAGACTCCACAGTGGTGGCAGGGGGAGCAATAGGATTATTAATAAACTCACTATTATTAGTACTAGATAAATCACATAGCTTGGTATTTTCAGGAGTAGACATGATGTCAACAAAGGCAGAAATAGCAACACAAGATTTTTTTTGGTGTTCTAGAAAATTTTGGCAAGTAAAGAAGAAGGCAAGAGTAACTAGGTAACAAATAAAATAAGCAAATAAAGAAGTTTGTGCGAAGGCCCCTGATTTGGTAGACATTGACTCTGGCAACGGCGCCAGAAATTCTTCTGCTACTCCTGTAGGGGTTGTTGGATTTTTCCAAAGAGGAAAGGTGATGTAGCACATAATTAAAAGTATTTCCCTCAGTTAAGAACTAAGGTTTAATCGAACCAATGGGAGTCAACAAGCTAACAATATAAGCAACACCTACAAACAAACAAAATAAATACTTGCACCCAACTTGGCAAGGGGTTTTAAGCCCCTCGTCTTACTAGTTACAAGGTTAAAAACAAATAGATGGATAAATAAATAATGGTATAGTGAAACGGTAAAACAATAAAGGCAAATAAAAGGGCAATTTTATAGAACAAGTATTGATAGAGAATGGACCCGAGGGCCATAGGTTCATTGGTGGTGTTTCTCTCAAAAGCATGTAATGGAGTGGTATAGAAATTACTGTTGGGCAATTGATAGAAAAGCAAGAATTATAACTATGATTATTCATGGCATAATCTTGTATAGGCATTACGTCCGCGATAATTAGACCATTATCCAACTACATCTACTACCATTACTCCACCCCGAAACCGTTATCTAGCATGCATCTCAAGGTATTTAGTTTACTAGAAATTGAGCAATGCAGTAAGCAAGATGACATGCTTTAGACAGAAAGAAATCTAGCAATAAGATAATTCCTAGTCGGTTATCCTTAGTAGCAACAATACAAATATGTGTCTTGTCCCCATTCTGTCACTGGGATGTAGAACACATCATGGTTGAACCCACTAGTATGCACCACTTTCTCTGAAGAACTACCCATCTATTTTGGCCAAAGAAGACAAATAGATCAGAAAGAATACATAGTTACTTAATTATACAACAAAGAAACTTCATAAGATTCAATAATATTCAATGAAGGATCTGATCATAAATCCGCAATTCATCATATGCCAACAAACACACCATAAGAATTACATTTGATTGATGTAGAGGAGAACATGGTATTGAAGATCCAAAAGAGAGAGGGAAAATCCAGCTGGCTACTACTATGGACCCATAGGCCCTAAAGAAACTACTCACACATCATCATGTATGGAGCAAGGTTAATGAAGAGGCCTCCTCCAATGGCTTCCCCCTCCAGCAGAACTCTAGGATAGGGCTCCAAATGGGATCTCTTCAAAACAGAGGCTTGCGATAGAGATAAAATTCTTCTGGAGGTACAATGAATGGTTTCGGTATTTATAGGAATTTATGGCGGTGGAATCAGGTCAAGATGGTAACTAGGGGGCCCACAAGCCTAGGTGGTGTGAGCATCCCCTAGCCACGCCACCTGCCGTTATGGCTGGTTGGTGGGTCCTCTCGACGCTTCCCGAAGCTTCCAGTGTTTCTTGTTGCCCAAAAAATCATGTTAAATTGGCAACGTATTTTGACCTTTGTAGATATTGATTTCCTGCAAAACCAAAAACAAGCAGAAAAACAGGAACTGACACTTGGCACTAAATTAATAGGTTAGTCCAGAAAACTAATATAAAATGATAATCAAAGTATATATAAATGATAATATAGCATCATGAAACAATCAAAAAATATAGATATGTTTGAGACGTATCAGTGTCCATCACCATCTTCGTCCCTTGATCAGAGGCTTTGCCATCCATAGACCCATATAATTATTTGGTAGGCAATGATGCATGTGCTATGAATTGTTTTTCCATTATCTATTCTATATTAATACTTATGCTTGAGTTGTTGTTGGGTACTACTTTTATTTATATGTGTTTGCGAATGTTCACATAGATTGTTCATATATATTCGGAATGGTAGATCTTAATCCCTCATGGATCTGGACCCATGTCATGCGCCTCGCTTTGACGGTGT